TATTGTTATTATTATTATTATTATTATTATTATTATTATTAATCTCTTTTACCTCGTTCCTTGGTAATCTTATTCAGAATACTAAACTCTCAAGTGGCGTCATAATATTACTTTAAATTCATGATAATAAAGTCTATTCGTATGAGAGTTTAACTGCGTGTCAACGTGTCTCATACCATCATATATATATATTTATATATATATAATATAATTTTAATAATAGTATTGTATATAATATATTTACTACTTGCATATCACAACATAAATTTTTTTCTCTCCTCTCTCTCTCTCTCTCTCTTTCTCTCTCTCTCTCTCCCACATTCACTCATTCACCCATCCTTTTTATCTTCCTCGTTTACTTTCTCCCCCTTCACCCTTCTCACTCTCTCACCCCCTATCACTTTTTCCTTCTTTCGCTAGTTTTTTTTTCGTTTTCTTTCTGACATACGATACACTCATGTACACACTAATACATACACACAAATTCTCTTCCATACGCGCGATTGACATATATCATTCGTACAGTGTTTTCCGCAAACACACTCATATGATTTATCTTTTTCCATCTACATAATTGTTATAACGCTGCGGTAGTCGAGTAGTGGTTGAGTTTTTAAGCATTGTAGCGTCTTTCAAGAGAGCTTTATTTATCTTTAATTATCGAAACTCTATATGTTCACTTTTTTTTCTTTGCTAATTTTTTTGTTCTTTTTTTTTTATTCATCAAATGAAAGACGAAAATAATAATAACAATAATTCTTTTCTCTCTCTTTTCTCTCTCTCTCTCTCTCTTTCTCTCCATTTCTATCTCTATCTTTTTTTAATCTCAATCGAAACGTTTCTCACCGTAAAATGCATAACTGCAGGGGGAAAGTGTGTTGGTACAATTAGTTCGTTCTTTCTTTCTTTTCATTTTTCTTATTCTTATTCATATTTTCTTTCGTGTCTTTTTCTCATACAAGGCGATAGCATAGGATACGATCAAGATCTATACATTTTTTTAGATCATTCTAACTGCACAACAGCAATGCATAGTCGCGATGATCCATTGATCGATAGAATCTGATCGAAAACAGCTATAGCACAACACGCTGGCTCCATCGAAAGACTATAAACAAGCATTTTTTATTCAGTGCAAAAGACACCGAGCAAAGTGTACGCGTGTATGTGTATGTTATGTGTTTGAGATGTGTCTGTGTGTGTATATATATATATATGTATGCATGAATTATGTCCCGTTGTATAAATTATACACATGGCATATACGCGTTCTCGATAGGAAACGAAAAAATTAGAATTTATTATAATTTCAGAATCGTATTTCTTATTCTTTCCAATAGCAATAGTAACTTCCTCTATTTGGTGGATGTCATCGTGCTCGTTGCTATAGATCAATCATTGTCGTCTTATCAATAATCATTATACGATATATAAATATACATATATACCTTCATATTCGTTTTATAATTTCACACAATATGAAACAAAATATGTCTTATTTTTTTATTTTATTATTATTATTTAAAATTCAAAGAAATATTATTTGTCTATCTTTCATATTTTATATTCTATCCTTTTCTATTTTCAATTCATTAAATTTTTTATATATCGAGTAACATGTCAAACGCTTGTGTACGTGTATGTGCTTGTCATTTTCTTGTTCCTCACTTTCAAATTCATTCTTATGGATGTTAAATTCTTTCTTTTTTTTTTTTTTTTCTTTTATTGTTTGTCTTGAAATTTCTTTTCATTCCTTTTACCCTCTCACTGTCGTTTCTTTTGCCTCATTTTATTTTCTTCTACCGATCTCAACAAGTAAACGAGTAGAATTGTAGTAATTTGTGCTACATTGCTCATGAGCTCAGCCACTAGCATTTATACATCAGCATAAAACCTTAGAAATCATGGCTCAGCTCGAAGTTATTCGTGCTGGGCTCACATTTAAACACGACCTCAGAACATCCAGGGCAGCCGATTAAAGTATGCAGCAGGAGGCTGAGCAGCAACTGCTACCACCACCTTTACTTTTTTGCCTTTGATCTGAAACGAAAAGGGAAATGATTTTTTTCATATTTATATTTCATTTATATTTTTTAGATTTATAATACAGCATGATATTAGTTATAACGAATAAATTAGACACTTGTATTTTTGCTTGGTTTTTATTTTTTTAATTGAAAACCGCATTACGTGAACATTAAATGAGAAAAAAAAAATCGGTTAGAGAATGACAGCACACACGTATTATATAAAATAAACAATTATAAATACGACCGAAATAAAATGTGTTTGAATAAAAATATAACGAGTAGTCAGAATGCATTGAATTTTCAATTCAGTCACAGCTATTGGTCACGATTTTCAGTATCGCATCGCGAATAAATGTTATCGAAATTATTTCATATATTTTTAAACGAGAATAAGGATATTTGTGAAAGATTGAATCAGAAAAAGGTATTTGGGATTCATTTATAATATATCGAATCGAATAATCTTAATTAGTTGTCATCATAGTCAAGATAGTCAGGTTGGATGTACATGCATTGACCATTAGATAGGAAACTCGCAAGGAATGGAAATATTTGTCGTTGTTTAAATGTATTCCATAAATAAGCACGTAATCTAAAAACGCGTGAAAGAAACATTATCATTGTGTAACATAATTATCTATTTCCATGACCAACAGAAGCAACAGGTTAAGAGAAAAGAATCTTTGGGATTGTGAACATATCTCATTACTTTTGATAGTCAAGATGGTAGTAGACGAAATTACGAGAATTATATTTTTTAGTCGCGTTAAACTGCTATAAACCTTCGTTTTAATTACTCGAAATTAATCGCGAGGTTTTTAGTTATGAGCACGCATACTTCTCCACGAAAAAAAGAAAGAAAGAAAAAAAAAATATATAAAACGAAAAAAGACTATTGCAATCGTGACTCTAATTGCAATTTTATTAATGAAACGTTTAAAATTTCACGTAACAAAAGATTATATATCTCGGGGATAAGGAAGGGGGGGGCGGGGGAAGGGGAAATAAATTAAGAGACGAGAAAAACGTGCAAGGTCGTTTTCTTTTTTTATTTCTCTCCTCTTACCTTGGGAATTAGGCTCGGGAAGATTTTCTCGTGGTACCAAATGCATCACCGTGGTTTTCCCGAAAGGAAGCCCAAGTGCACCGAGCGTGACATTGCTGTGCAGAAAACGACCCTGGTAGATTAGCCGCAGGATCTCCGCTTTGGCAACAGCCTCTTCCGCCCAGTCTGAAGAAACAAAAGTATCCTCTTAGCACTGAAATACCTTTTTTTCTAGTGATCCGCATTCTCGAGCTTTTACAAACTTAATCTTTTAAAACGTCGAATGGAGAAATTGAAAGATGCTCCGATGCTAAAAACTCGATAATCTTTTACTAAACTATTCAAAAAATAAAAAGAAAAAATCTTTTAATTTAGAAAAAAGAAAAGAAAAAACATCTTTTCAATGAATTACAGATCCGTTTTCTTGTTTGTTTGTTTGTTCTCTCTCTCTTTTTCTCTCTTAAAATCCGACTTGATTGATTGATAATTATAAGAATTACGTATACTCGATAGAAAAAGCTTTCGAAAAGATTTCATTTCGTTTAAGAGAGTTATATTTAAACTTAGAAACCATACGACTTTTAGTTTTACTACTCTCTTCTTGTTCTTCTTCTTCTTCTTGTTGTTCTTCTTTGCTTTGCTAGTGATATACGAGGATCAACGATGATTTTTCAATCCCCGAAGTTGTTTGAAAGATTCTCGATGCAATATAATCGACAGTAGCTTAGCCCGGTCTCATAAATCTTATGTTCCGTTTGAATTAAACCGACTACTAACGACCGCCTTTCCTATCCGGTGTTCTCTCTATCCGGTGTGTTCTACACAGAAGCATCTGCGGAATGTCGAAATCTAATAACAACCTACCTTCCGGCCAGTTTTCAAACACATGGTGAGCTATATCTCCCGCGGAGTCGCTCGGACTGAATAGGAACTCTTTTGTCTTACCACTGACGAGGATGAGGCGTAGATTTATCTGTAACATATCAAAAGCAACAAGGGGATACTTACAAAAATTCGGAATATTTTTTGAACACACATTAAACAAATAAATAGTATACTTTTATATTTTCTTTAAAAGTTAACGTACGACGTAGACATACGTGTTAAATCATTTCCATTTCGTAAACATTTTCTGTCCTATATCCTCGATTAATAATTCATTATGTTGGATACAACACAGATAGACACATATCAAATTAATTGTTTATTTTTATTAGATATTTATAGAAAAAAAAAAAATAAATAAAAACAACAGGCATCATAATATACACGTGAAATTAATCGAATCGAAGGTATTACTCTTACATACATATATATTTTTATATTAACATAAATAAAAACTAACGACTGACGTTTGCACCAGCAATGCCGATGGTAGTCGTGCACGAATAGCCAATGGTTTTAATATATACACGCAAGTTCTTTAATATTTGTAGTTTTTTTATTATTTTTAATCTTTGACGGGGGAAAAGAAAAAACAAAACTATCGATTTCATATCTACCCCCTATCTCGCAAAAGTTATATTTTTTTTTGTTCCTTTTTCTTTTCCTTTTTTTCCCTTTCCCAATATCATTTCAACGTCGGATGAATTTTTTCAATCTTCACGAACGATCGGATCTCTATAATAAAAAGACCGAAGGGTGTATACTACTACTAGTATATATATATATATATATATATATATATATATTATATATACATGTTCTTTTTCTCCCTCCCTCCTTCCTCCTCCCCCCCTCTCTTTCTTTCTTTCTTTCTCTATTTCTGCCTCTCTACCAGTTTATCTATCTAACCAACTATCTGCGACACTTCAACACGAATCTATCGACCCGAGCACCCTTTCCATAACTTCCATCCCTTTTCTGCGACAAACGAGTTGGCGCTTTTCGGACAAGGCGCAGGGCTCTTAACCGACTTTATTTTTCCTTAACCGCATATCCGTCGAGTCTTTTTCTTCCTCCGTGTACTCTTGTGGATCACAACGTGGAGGAAGAAGTTTCTACCGCAACATCTAACACTTTTTTTTTTTCGTACGTGTTTCTTCGTCATTCTACACCGTAAACCTTTTATGATCTTTACTAGAAGTCAATGAATCGAAAAATTATTTCAAATACGATTCTCAATTGGATTTTTATTATTTATTTTTTTATATATATATATACCGTTGATATATTATATTTATATATTGCTACGTTTAACGTTCTTGTTATACATAATAATTGTAAAAGACATTTGTTTCTATTTCTATTTCTTTATCGGTCAATCACTTGTTAGAAATAAGAAAGTGATATATAATTTCATGATGCACATACGCGCATATCTGATGAAATAAAACCAACGGGTTATTTTACTTTTGTGATAAAGTGTTGTTTAACACGTTAACGTGATAGACGGGATCGTATTTCGTATGTCATTCCTTCCGTTCGGCGACTTTATTATTTCTTGTTTTTTTTTTTTTTTTTTTTTTTTTTTTTTTTTTTTATCACAACCCGTTCGTTTACGAGATTATCCGATTATTATAATTAATTGTATACCACACACATCAGTAGGGTACAAACCGTTCAATGAAACAATCATGCATTTAACACTGGTATCACATCCAATGTACATTAACGCTTTGCATTTATTTGTATCTTATATTCTTTCGTATGAATATATTTTTTCTAAAAAATAAAAAGACAAAAAAAGAAAGAAAAAAGTATTAAACAAAGACCAATATTGAAGAAATATTTTGTGTCTGATATTCATATTTATATTTTATATTTGTAATAACATATATATATTTATCGATAAAACTTAATCCTTAATGCAACGGATTTATTTTTTTTATTTTCCTTATTATTTAATCGTATTGAAAAGTTTTCAAATTAAGGACGTTTTCCGTTGGTATGTACTTTGGCGAATGCGAATTCAATTATCGAACGAGAAGCAGTCGGCATAAATAATCACGGACGTCAAGTAGGAGAGACAGGGAAAGAGGGGAAAAGGAGGAGGAGGAGGAGGAGGAGGTGGAAAAGGGAAAGGGAGAGGGAAAGGGAGAGGAAGACTCGATAAAAGGGTGTAGTCTGGAGGGGCTTCAGGTCGAAAGAGAGTAGAGAGGAGAAGGAAGAGGGCGGTAGGGCTTTACTACGCCCAGCTCGTGACCCTTTGCGGTCTTTGCGGTCACAAGAATCCGTTGTTCGGCCGCTAAAGCGTAAATCATTGTCCTCGTCGCACGAATTATCGGCCGATGCTAAAGGCATACATACACACACACATACATACACATACTTATACACATAGGATCGTTCAGCTCAGCAAATGCTGCCAAACGTTCGGCCAACCCTTTAACGAATTTGATAATGTCACCTTAGCACGATCATTCCTTTAACGTTGATTCATACTTTGTTACTTGGAATAATACAAAAGTCAGATAAAGTAAAAAAAAAAAAAAAGAAAAAAAAAAGTAAATGGATGGATATTTTTCTTAAACGGTCATTTCAATGTCAAGTATATTTTTACATTAATTATTACATATGTATATGTACTACGTGTTGAAAGCATTATTGAAAGTTGACAGAAGAAAAAAGAATAAAACACAGCCCCATGAAAAATTTATTCAAATAATAAAGTCAGCAAGTATATCGTTATGCCAATGTCTATATATTAAATCGATAAGAAATTTCTTCTAACGTTTCGATTTATTCTAATATTTTTCTTTTATGATGCATATAAAACGATATAGTTGCATGAATAAAGATGAGAGAAAGGAATAGGAAGAAAACGGGAAAATAAGGTAACTGTTTAAGAACCCCTTTCCTGTATGTAATAAATTGTATGTAAGTTAGAAACACGGAACATATGGATTTTGTAAAAAAAAACACGAAAAAACATAAGAAAAAAGATTAACGAATAAAAGTTCATTTGAACGATAACGAATTATTAATAATATTAATAATAATATTAATAATTTTTAAGAACGCGAACATTAGTTGGATTAATTATGGAATTACAAATGATGAATAGAGATGAGAGTAAACTGATGAAAGAGATATCGAGATTGCGAAAGGAAGAAGGACAGATACAGAGAGAGAAGAAGAGATAGAAAGAGAATTTCAACAGAGGATCGTTTCTGAAGAGACGATAAGTCCTCCCGAGAGTATCGAGCGCTTGTTTCCTCTTGAAGGAGACGGAAGCGAGTTGCTTTCACGATTAACCGTTATCGTTCGACGTGAACGAGCCGAATTTTAAGCGTTTGCTCGTTACACCGAAAGCGTCCCTTCGGAAGCCCAGAAGAGTATAACAGAGAGGGAGAGAGGGAAAGAGAAAATGAGAAAATAAGGGAGAGAGAATTTATAAGAGCGAGTGAGTGAGTGAATGAGTAAGTTAGAGAGAGATGAAAAGAGGGCAGACAGAAAGAGGAAGGTGATCGATGTTTAAAGTTTGGAAGTCTAGTCGTCGACAGGCCTCCCTTCGATAGCTCTTCGAGGATATAAAGAGGGATCGCTTTGACGATACTTGAACGATCTTGCTGCGAGCTTAACTGTTAAAATCGACAAACTGTAGTCTCGTAAACTACATTTATGGTACGGCCAAGTTATGCGTAGTACATACATATGTTTTTATGTTTTATTTGCAATTGATTTGCATTATCGTTTCTATATACGTTGCTGTGAAAGATTGAAATTGGACAATGTCAAGATTCACGTGGTAACTTGGTGTATTTTGGAAATATTTAATGTATAAGAATGAACTGAAATATTGGGTCTTTCACGGTAATATTGTATATATATATATATGTATATTTCTTTTTTTCTTCTTTTTTTCGATATAACTTTTCTTAGTTATTATTTATTACATATTATTTTTAGATGTTAATTGAAAGCTTTCGTAGTTTAGTTGTCTATGTTTTAGAATTATTACTTGTGTATTAATGCAAGTTAAAAAGTTTATTTTATTTTATATATTTTACAATTATTTATATTATAAAATAAATGATCCAGCGGGTTAAGTTGGATTACTAGTACACGTCAGATTACCAATGGCAAGCAACGTTGGCACGGTTAATAAAATGGAAGAAGGGTGACACGTTCGGGGAAAACAAAAACCGTGTGCTGTTGACTCCAGTCAGAGGCGGTAAAAAGACGCGACCCCTTTGATAATATTGGATAAGTGTGAGATATTCGTAGAGAAGTGACTCGTACTCGAACAAAAAAAAAGGATGAATAAAAAGAAGACTTGGAATATTATAAAATATATAAATCATAAAATAAATTTACTTTTCAATTGTTCCGAGACTTAAATATCATTGTCGTAATTGCCATTATAGTGAGTAAAGAAATAAAAAAAAAAAAAAAAAACAAACAATTTGAAGAAGTTGAAGAAGTAGAAGAAAAAGGTAATAAACGAACTTGAAATCAACGAATTGATTTTCTTTATTATGACACTTGTCTCTCGTCGAACACGCTTCGTTTCTTCCATAGAAATTTTGTTTTTCGTTCTTTTTAAAAAAAAATTGAGACGCGTGCTCGTATTGGTTAGAAGAGACTTTAAGAGTCGTTGAATTGTGGTAACGTGCGTACAATGTTGCGTGCATAAGGCGAAGTTTGCGGGGAAGCGCGTTATCTTCTCGTTTTGAAGTCGTGGAACCGTGGAAAGAGAAAAGGGTGTATCGTTGCCTCATGGTCCAAGAGAGAGAATCAGAGAGAAAGAGAAGGAGAAAGAGAGAAAGAGAGAGAGAGAGAGAGAGAGAGAGGGAAAGAGAGTTTTCGGAGAGTCGGTCGACCAACACGTACTTCAAAGGGATTTATTCATGCGGTAGCGTTCGATACTCTCACTCTTCTTTTTCTCCATCAGTCTACCCATCTCCTCTCTTTTTCTCTCTCTCTCTCTCTCTCTTTCTGTTCCTCTCTTATGGCTCTTGGCAAGTGGAGTAACACGTTGAACGAACGCGTACTACACGACGATGCGTCGTGTTCTCCGTTCGAGTCGGC